AGCGGCAGTGCTTGGATTATTCACACTTAAATGGGGTGGCTCTGCCCCACGTACACAGGGATTGTGACTAAAGTGATGGGACAAAGGAAAGAGGCGCTTGGAAGGAATAAGTCCCGTTCATTTTCCCAAAGCAGTCCAGAGCGGGCGCCACTGGACGGAGCTCCGTGAGGACTGGGGCAGGGCCTGCACCACCAAACCACAGGGTCTCTGCAGGCTCTGCTCTGAGGAGCCTGAGCCACCTGGGCTCAGTTCCCCTCTCCCGATCTTGCCTCCCCTCCTCTGTCCGGCCAAGTCCTCTGCCACTTACCTGGGTCATCGCAGCCGACTGTCCCTTGCACATGCCCAGCACCCGCCGTTGTACTGTCGTAAGGACCTCGCCCATGAGGCTTCCCGACCCACATATTTCCTGGGTAGAAGGCGGCCCCTGAGTCTGTGTCTCCACCCAAGGGCAGCAGCGCCTTCCCAGGCTGCCCCGGACAGCGAGGCCCAGGAACCGGGTCACCTGGGGCTCCCAGGGATGGTCTGGCATCTGTTGTAAACCCCCTGTTCAGCGGAGGCTGCAGGGATGGTCCTTGCCCTTCGAAGGAACCAGGTTGTCCTGGCTGACTCTTCAAATTATATCTACAGAAATTGCTTTACAGTGGGCACTAACCCCGTGGTTGCTGACCGCTGAGGTGGCGCCCTTATGATCCTCTCCCTCAGCTGCCTGTGCTGCTCGAGGGCCGGCTGCGCCTCCCACCTGGCCCAAGAGCACGGGCAGCGCGGCTCCCAGAGAAAGCAGGACTGACATCTGCAGCTGTAGGGACACTGGCTTCAGTCAGCGTCACCCATAGTCAGAGCAGCATGAGCAGGAAGGGACTTTCCTGGTGCCTAGACCGCTGCTGCTCTGCAAATGCAGAAAGTATTCACGGAGGATTGAAGAGGACCTGGGTGCTCACAGTGTCAGGGTGTGGGAGGCACGCAGTGTTGAGGAGGGTCAGTTTTTTTTAGAGAGAAAGAGGATGTGAGAGGAATGAGTAAGAAGAGAATGTGAGAGTGTGAGACAGCAAGAGTTGGAGAGCGAGACACTGAGTGTGTGAGAAAGATCAAGACAGAGTGTGAGAACGAAGAGAGAGTGAGAGTGTGTGCAAGAGAGGACGAGTGCACGTGAGTGAGCGCGTGCGAACATAAGAGAACGAAGAGTGAAGAGAGTGTATGAGACAGAGTCAGAGTGTGTGTGTGACGGTGAGAATGGGAGAGTATGAGAGACAGAACGAGAGAGATCAAGACAGTGTGAGAACGAGAGAGTACTCGAGTGTAAGAGAGCAAGAGACAGAGTGAGAAAAGGAGAAAGATCGAAACTGGAGGAGAGACAACGAGAGTGAGCAAAGAGCGAGAAGGTGACAGAATTTTTACTATTTAGTTCTCGGCGGACACAACATCGTTGTTTGTGGTGCTGAGGATCGAACCTGGGCCCCACCATGCCAGGCGCTTGAGCCACACCCCCAGCCCCCTTTAACACCTTTTTTCAGGGACTGTGTCTAGAGGGGTGTAGGCGTGTCCCACCTCTGTAGAGGGGATTCTTTCAGTGAGTGACTTATCTTCCTCAACCTAAAGTGACCCCACTTAACCGGGTGCTAACTCTACACTGACTTGCAGGAGACGTTGCAGTGAAGATCCTGAAGGTTGTGGACCCAACCCCAGAGCAGTTCCAGGCCTTCAGAAACGAGGTGGCTGTCCTGCGGTGAGTCTGGCCCTGGCCCTGCACCTCCTCCTTCTGGAAGGTGGACACTTGTCGAGGCCCACTGTTCTTGGTGGCCCAGCTGTTTCTGGGTTTCTGTTTGAGGTGGGGAGAACCCTGTGTGTTGCCAAGTTGCTTTACCGTGGGTTTCGAAGACAAGGGGGTCCTCCCCTCCCCCATGGAAAGTTGGGAGTGCGCTGGTCACAAGGTCCTGTTGACGGGGCCAGCTCTGAGCTCACCAGGGCTCCTGCTGCGTTGCTGGCCCGAGGCCTTGTGGGAAAGCAGAGCTCTCCTTCCCCCAGCAAAACGCGACACGTCAACATCCTGCTCTTCATGGGATACATGACAAAGGACAACCTGGCCATCGTGACCCAGTGGTGTGAGGGCAGCAGCCTCTACAAACATCTGCATGTCCAGGAGACCAAGTTCCAAATGTTCCAGCTGATCGACATCGCCCGGCAGACGGCGCAGGGGATGGAGTGAGTAGCTAGGTCCTGTCGCTTGGCACCATAAGACAAGTCTGGGGGTGCCCAAGGCCAGGGAGCAGGAGAGGAGCAGGAGAGGGGGTGGAGCTCCTCGCCGGCTCCGGTGCTGGCCCATGCTCTAGTGTAGGTCCACAAAATCACCCTCTGCAGTGTCGCCGGCAGGGGTACAGTGTGGTCTCTGGTGTGTGCAGGACTCCATTTCTGCTTTAGTCCCACCACCGTCGCTCACATCAGAAGGGCTGAAGCTTAGGGAAGTAACAGCATGTTTGTGCTGTGGTCCCCCCTCCTGGTGACACAGACCCGGTGAACAGGGCTAGTCCCACGGGTAAGGGGTGGCTTTTCTTCGAGGCAGGAGTTGGGGACGGCGTTCTCCCGCACTCCAGAAGCTGCTTTTAACACTTCCTCTCCCCTCACAGCTACTTGCACGCCAAGAACATCATCCACAGAGACATGAAGTCCAACAGTATCCTTTGGGGGCTGAAGCTAGCAAACAGAACCAAGGGGGCTCTGTCACGATAGCTTTCTGGAGGGCATTTGGTTGAGAAGGAAAGTTATACGGCACACAGTGGGACTAGCAGGTCCCCATTACACCGTGCGGTGCTGAGAAGGTTCCTTATTCCCCTTAAACTTCCACTTGGAGAACACTCGGGCTTTGGTCTTATTTCTAGTTTGTAGCTGTTTGGATCCAGACCCAAAGTTGCTAAATTCCCAAAATTACCAAGTCATAATTATTAAGTCATCTCTTTGGAGCTCACTGTTGGAAACAGCCCCTCCTCTTAAGACTTGTAATAAGGCTCTGCCCCTCTAGCTTCTTGGCCAGCAGAAGGGTCCTGGAGATTTATCAGGGGACGTGCTCCCATACGGCGGCTAAGAGGCTGATGGTTTTTCAATCAATGAATGGTGGGTGTTTGTAGCCATCATGGGACACCAAGGCTTTGGCTCTGGATCCTGAGCACCAGCAGCTCCCTAGGCCAGCTGCGGCTGCCCGGTGGCTGTTTTGCTGAGAGAGCATTTAAGCCTCACGAAGGGATCTGCTAGCCACGCCCACTCAGACATAATTCAGAGTCACCAGGCCCTGTCCAGCCCCCTAGGGAAGCTCCAGAAGGCAGCCTTGGTCTTGGGTCGCAAGGTGCCTACCTTACACAGAAGGCTCACAAGGCCAGGGAGCCAGCACCCCAGTGTGAGGATGAGCTTGGAGACACACTTGAGGATCTGGCACATTTGTTGCACGGGTGGCTTTGGCCAGGGAGGTGGCGAGGTGACCCTGTTACAAGGAACTCTGGGGAGAATTAACTTAACCGCCCTTTGGGAGCTAGCGTCCTTAACAAGCATTGAGACATATTTCTCCACGAAGGCTTAACAGTGAAAATTGGAGATTTTGGTTTGGCGACAGTGAAGTCCCGCTGGAGTGGCTCTCAGCAGGTGGAGCAGCCCACGGGCTCCGTGCTGTGGATGGTGAGGAATCTGGGGGGGACCGGATCGGCAAGCTGCGTCCCCTGCGGGTTCCTGTGTTGGCCAGTCCCTGGGGGAAGGGCCCCTAGAAGCTGAGGGAGGGACAGCCAGGCCCCTTGATGACCGCCGACCCGCCCTCGCAGGCCCCGGAGGTGATCCGGATGCAGGACAACAACCCCTTCAGCTTCCAGTCCGACGTCTACTCCTACGGCATCGTCCTGTACGAGCTGATGACCGGGGAGCTGCCCTACTCCCACATCAACAACCGGGATCAGGTGACGTCCGCGGGCACTTGGTGGGAGCCCGGGCCCAGTGGCGGTGGTCTGGCCGCTCACTCCTGTCTTCCCTCCTCAGATCATCTTCATGGTGGGCCGAGGCTATGCCTCCCCTGACCTCAGCAAGCTCTACAAGAACTGCCCCAAGGCCATGAAGAGGCTGGTGGCCGACTGTGTGAAGAAAGTGAAGGAGGAGAGGCCTCTCTTTCCCCAGGTGAGACCACCCCGGGTGGGGGAAGGGACTAGAGGTGCGGGAAGGCAGTGTTTGGAACCCCACCTGAGCACCCGCCTTGACCTCGTTTCAGATCCTGTCTTCCATCGAGCTGCTCCAACACTCCCTCCCCAAAATCAACCGGAGCGCTTCTGAGCCATCCCTGCACCGGGCAGCACATACCGAGGATATCAACGCCTGCACGCTGACCACGTCCCCCAGGCTGCCTGTCTTCTAGTGGACTTTGCACCTGCGCTCGGCCCCGGGAGGAAGGGAAGGCAGCGGCAGCACCTTCCTGGCCCTTGCTCCGGGGGCAGAGCGTTGTTTTCTGAGAAGCTGCTGCTAAGGACCTCCTAAGACGCACAGGCCTTAACTTCACGTTGCCTTCTTTTCTACCCTTTCTGGCCCGTCCTCCTCCGTCTCCAGCATGCACAGGGGATGCTGACGGCCCTGCAAGAGCCGAGTACCTTTAGGGCAAAAAGAAGTGGATGTCAAGGTCGTGAGCGGACTGGCCCCCGCTGTGGGGACATGGGGTTTGGAAACCAGCTTCTTTTGAGAGACAGCGGTGCAGCGCCAACAGTTTTGCACATAATTCACCGAACAACCCAGGACTGCGGAGATGCGCCTGCTCTATCTAGTACCACGGGACTTGCCTGTCACAGCCCGAGATGTCCAGTGCACACGGTGGCTTTCCAGGCATGGTGCTCCGCCCTCCTGTCCTGGTCCTTGGGAGCAGCCTCCCGTCATGCTGAATTCGTCTTCCAGGGGCGGCCCCTATGGGGCGGGCCGCAGGGCCAGCCCCGTCTCTAGTCACATAATTGTGGATGCAAGGAAGCCAGGAATACAGGTTTTCTTGATTTGGGTTTTAATTTTGTTTTTATTGCGCCTGACAAGATACAGTTATGATGATTCCTCGATTATGTTATTTTAATAAAATAAATTAAATTTAGGTTTAATGGCTGTTAACCCTTTCCTTCTAAAGCTGGGAATGGAACTCTGCTCCTCAGGCCCTTGACTGAGAGCTGACTATGAAAATCAAGCATTCTCAACTCGGGTAACTACCCATACTGTAGGGACACATTTTATAAAATCTCTCTACAGCATTTTACAAAAATAGATTAAAAAAAAATTCAGGTTTAGAACAAGCTTGTTCTAACTTGCGAGGTCACACGCATTCTTTAGTTAAAAAGAAACTGAGCAGGAACTCTGGCCTCCTTCTCTAAAGCGCTACTGGGCCAGAAACTAGCTCCCGTGTGGACAAGCCAGCCCTTCCAGGTAGGACAGGGCGGCCCAACACTTCACCTGTCAGCTGCACGAGTGGGACACTGAGGAGACTCACGAGGACTGATGGCCCCTCAACAGCAGCTCGCTGTTTACACACACTGGGGACCCCGCGGAGGAAGCCTTTGGTAAGAAAATTCAATGTGCTCCGGGGCCAGCTGCGAGTTTACTGTTTCTAAGGAGAACAATCGAGAGCGGAGCCAGGTTTCCTCTAAAGCAAACCGCCCAGCAGCCAGCTGGTCCCGAGGGGCGGGAGGTGCAGCTCAGATACCAACTATAAAAATAGTGATGGCGTGTACTTATTAGGTTACTTTATATGCTTCACTCGTCCCAGGGCTGTCATAGGGAGAGTGGAGGAGACCAAGGGTGAGCACAGCCTGGCTCACGCCCTGGCTCAGCAACGCCCAAGATGCAGGGACAACCACTGACCCTAGGGTTCTGAGGATTCCACTCCAGAAAGGTGCATGAAGAGGTCCCCAAGCTCTGTCATGTCAACATCTTCAGTGCTGGGGACCTGCCGGGTTTCTCGGTTTTCGATGAAATCCCACAGTCGCACCGAGTTAAAGAACTGCAAGAGACCAACGGGGCGCCTGGTTACACTAGGGCCACAGGAAGGCCGCGAGCCCCCGCCCCCTCTTCATGGCTGCCAAAGCTGATCGATTTTGGGGGTGGGGACAGCCACCGGGGCCGGCCCAGTCCTTACCCTCACTGTGCCTTCAGAGCTGAGCTGTTTCCGGGGTTTCTCTGGCTCTGCCAGCCGCCCGTCTGGATACGCGTGGCGGTAAAGGCATTTGCTTCCAAACGGGCAGGTCCCCTTGCCTTGCTCGAAGTATTTACAAGCTTTTTTCCTGAAAAACAGAAAACTGAATGAATCAAGAGGAGGAATGACCAAGCAGGAGAATGCACGGCGCAGGTGGGCTGACCTCTACCGTGATGCCAGAGGTCATTTCACATTTTATAGGTGGGGACACTGGGGCTGGAGAGGTTCAGTGACTTGCTAAAGGTCATAAGGAGCCAGGATTCCACGTTCCCAGCTGGACAACAGCCCACTGTCGCAGGGCCTTTGAGAACTTACACATGCCAGGGGGATGGCGGGAGGGGTGCTGCTGCTGGGCAAGTCACCTGCAGGTGCCCTGAACGCACCTCAAGTGCCAAGGGCTAAAGCTGGGGCACGTCCATCTGCTCAAATCTTCGAAGCACGTTTCCCTCCCTCCCGCAGCACCGTGTCGAGGTGACCACGGGTCAGGGCCAGGGAAAACAGTGCATTTTAGCAGACGCCTAAATCACAGGCCTCCCTCCTTCCCGCTCTCCTCAGCAGTTCCCGCAGGTGTGAAGCTCATGGGCCATGGGGGGCAGCCTAGGCACAGCGTCCTTCTCTGAATTCTGTGCACAGCCCCTGTGTTAAGAACCCTGCTCCTGAGGACACTCGCTCTAATGAGATTGGGCACCTCCAATCACAAATGACCCTGGAATGCTGAGGAAGGAGGAGGTGCAGAGACAGCCCAGGGTGACACAGGGCAGGTGACAGGAGGGACCTCGTGGATCGGACATCAGAGGTGAAGTCCAGACTTTTCAGCAGCTCCCCGAGAGCAGGTGGGGCCCTCTAGGTCACTAGAGGCTCCGTCTGGGCTGCCAGGCAGCAAAGCTGAGGTGTCCCAGGACGCTGGCTCCAGTAAGCTCACCTACACTGTCCCCTCTGTGTCCCGCTGCCTCCCACACAGCACTATTTTTCTTGGTCATCAAGACCCAAAACTTAAGAGTCCACTTATTGTCAGCTCTCACGTCCAGCTGCACTTATGTTCACAAAGCACCCCCCAAACACTAGTCCTGCCAGTCCCCACAATGTCCAGGGCGGGGGGCCCCACTTTTGCCGTGTGCCTGCCAATCCCGTCTCTCCCCACCCCCGACTGTCCACCCCTTTACAGAACCTCAGAGGAGCTTCCTCCAACAGCAAGGGCCCTCCCACCACCACCACCTAGAACACTAGGGGCACGCTGGACTCTCTAGACGTCAGTCCATCTTTGTCCCTGCAGGTCCCACCACATCTGTCTACACATCTACTCCAACTCCAGGGACAATTCCCACTGCCCCCAGGTGCAAACTCTGTAGCTTTATCCCACCCCCCGCCCCCCAATCCAGGCTCGGGGTTCCTGTGTAGCCTCCCTTGCACCTCACATAGACCCGTTTGGGCCTGGGCCACTCATGAAGAATCTGTCACCAGAAAACCTGTATCATAATCGTGCTTTTGCGGTTTGCCGTGACATTATCTTGCCCATATTCTACACTCCCCCAGGGGTGCTTGGCTGGACAGCCCCGGGGGGGTAAATGTTGTGAAATGTGTCACACCTGGGAACAATCCCAGGTCCCAACAGCAACAATTTTCAGATGACTCCAGCAGAGCTCCGCTGCCCCCTTGTGGACACACAATGGGGCGACAAGAGGAAAATGTGGGAAGGGAAAACCGGGAAAGAACCATTTTTAAATGTAAACCCTTCAACCTTTGGTGTGGCCAAGTAAACTGACCAGACCTTCCTGCTGGCGACTATAAACAAGCACCTCAGAAAGATGAAGAAACACAGGAAGGCTCTCCGGGGAGCGAAATGGCCATGGGGAGGCCCGGGACAGTGCCACTCAGGCAGCTAGAACTCTGGGAAACCCAGTTTGTCTGGCTTCAAGAACCAAAAGTCCAGTGGCTGAAGACACCAGCCACTGGACGGGAGGACGTGCTCCCACAGAAGGGCCTCAGGAGAAGCACGAACCGGCTGGGGCTCAACTGCCCAAAGCTGGCTTATCAGCACTTGGACCCTGCAAACAGAGGCTCAAGGCAGATGACGATGCAGATGGAACTGAGATCTCCATGGCTGCTGTTTCCCAGACGAGCCCAACAGATCCAAGCTGTGACGTAACATGTACAACACCAAGGACCCAAGAACCACCAGAGACCAACCTCCAAATGACAACGATTTCAAAGCAGCCATAACGTCTAAAAAGAACAGAGCCTATGGCACAACATCCAAAGGGCAGTCACATGGGATTAGAGCACCAGAAGGAAAACAGCGTAGGACCCAGGCACCAGGGCGCACGCCTGTCATCCCATCTCAGGAGGCGGAGGCAGGAGGATCGCGAGTTCAAAGACAGCCTCAACAATTTAGGCTGTAAGCCAATCAGCAGGACCCCAGATCCCGTCTCTAAACAAAATATATAACAGGGCTGGGGATGTGGTTGGTGCTTCAGTGTCCCTTGGTTCACTCCCTGTACAAGGGAAGGTGTGGGGTGGGGGAATGGGAAGAAATGGTCAAAATTTCCCCACTTTGGTGAATGACAGCTTCAAAAATACCAACCAGTACAGCAGGAAGAAAACCACTCTTGATAAAGTGAAAACCTTGAAAGCAACTGAGGACCAGGAGAGGGACAGTAACTTGAGAAAATGACAAGGGTATCCCCAACTTCTCAGAAACCAGAGGTGCTGCAATACATCTACAATGCACTGAGAAAATTCAACCTACTGTGTGAGGAGACAAAGGCAGAGAGACCAATTAGACCAACATATTGCATAAAAATATCCTTGAAGAATGGAGGAGAAAAAAGCCAGGCATTTGGCCAACACCTGTAATGTCAGTGACTCAAGGCCAGCCTCATCAACACCATCCCCAAAATAAAAGGGGGCTGAGGATGTAGCTCAGTGGTAGTGCGCCCCTGGGTTTAGCCCCCAGTACCAAAAAAAAAAAAAAAAGCCATTTATTATTATTTTTTAAGTATTTATCATAAACAGCAACAAAATGTTAGAAGCGATTCTTGAGGCTAAAGGAAAACAGAAGGAACTCGGTCACCCCTCAGTGGCCACAGAACAGGTTCCAGGATTTCCCTTACCTCTGCACAACCTGCGACACATATTAAGTCATCCAGGTTATTTAAAATGTAAATGCTATGCAAACTGCTGACACACTGAATGACAATGACGGGGAGGGTGGGGACGCCCCTCGTATTCACTGCAGATGAGACTGCTGTGTGTGCTGCTGGGGTGGGACCCGGGGGCCCGCATGGAGTAAGGCAAGGGGCTTTCCCCTGAGCCACCTCCCAGACAGTTTCTTTTTCCTGAATATTTCCAATCCAGTTGGTTGAATCTACAGGTGGACTCAGAGGGCTGACTGTGCGTGTCAAAGGAAAGAGCTTCAGGATCGCAGAAATACAAAGACATCTCCTTTCAAAAAGCAGTTTTTTTAAAGTACACCCGTGAACAGAATGCACGACGTTTTGCATTTTACCTAGAGTTCAAAGGCAGTGACGAGGCGCATGGGGCTGTGGGAATGTTAATTCTGACTGAAAAGAGTCACCACAATCCCTAGAAGAAAACATTCCAAAAAACAGGCGGAGCTGGCATTAGGGGCACCCGGCCATGGGTTCCATGCCCAGCTGAAAAAAAAGGGCTGGTGGGTATGAGCTTGGAGACCATGTTCAGGGGCTGGGGACAGAGCTCAGGTGGCACAGCACTTTCTCGCGTGCACAAGGCCCTGGGTTCACTGCCCAGCAGCAGCACAAAAACAACAAAACTATATTTAAATGTGATTCTAAAAACTATTCAGAACTGTCAAAATTGGTAAACGGCACATGTGTCCATCAACAGGAGAATGGGTGAGCCGTGGTGGACAGCTGCTTTCTGTGGCTCTGACAGGTGCCATGGTAGTAGCTGAAGGGTGGCCCCCAAAAGACAGTCCAAAGGCTAAGCCCTGGGACCCAAGTGTGACCTGCTTTGGACGATGGTCTTTGCAGATGTAACTAATGAGCCCAGAGTACCAGATGGGCCCTAAACCGACCTGCTATCCTTGCAGGAGGCAGAGGGTGGAGACAGAGGAAGACACTCAGACAAGGTGGTGCTTCACAGCCAAGCGACACCAGGGACACCAGGGACTGCGAGTATTCACCAGCAGCCAGGGCAGGTGCAGACTCTCCCCAGGGGCTCCAGAAAGTAGCCAGCCCTGCCCACACCTGGGTTTCAGGTTCCCAGGCTCCAGAATTGTGAGAAAATATCTGTCTGTGGTTTGGAGACACCTGGTGTGTGGACAATGGCTACAGCAGCCCTGGGAATTCATGTGCACAGTTCAGCTAAACAACAGTCTTCCTAACAGAGGGCCCAATGCTCAGTCATCCTAACCAAAGCACAGATGTCACTGTGACCTGTGTGGCCCACACACACACAGCAAGCCTGTGGTGACAGGGCACCAAGCGGCAGGCAGCAGCGCCTTTCTGGGTGGCAAACCCACAACATCACAGGGACAGGGCACACTGGTGAGCAAGGATGGAAGCGCAGGAGCAAATGAAAAGCGCTCGTGCTGGAACTCACTCTCCCACCCCCCACTCCAACCCACCAGCAAGTCCCCAGAAAAACCCAGTCTGGGCCTCCTTGCCACGTCCACTCCTCTGCCCAGGTGCGGGCTGCAGCCATCGCCCCCTGGGTTATGCGCACTAAGCTGTCCTGCTCTCCCCATTTCCACCTCTGCCTCCTCGTACGATATATTCTCCGATCAGCCACAGGTATCACTCCAGGGTATGACCAGACGTCACTCTTGTGATCAGACCCCAGGGGCTTTCCACCTGCTCAGGGACCTATAAAGCCCTATCATCTGCCCCTACTTACCTACCAGCCAGCCAGGCTCCTGCCTCAGGGCCTGCAGGGACCATTCCCTCCATCCAGAAGTTTCCTCTCATGGGCTCCGAGTGCTCCAAGGGTCTCCCGCCCTGAGACCAGGCCCTCCGCACTTCCCACCCCTGACTACCAGCCTTGTTTGCTCCTGATTATATTATGCACGAGGCTAGGCTTTCTGTCTACTGTCTCTGGTGCTCATCCAGCCTGTGACACGACCCAACGACAGCTCTTTGTTGAATAAACAGTCGACCTCAGCTCCAGAGACCAGGGTTCTTAGTGTGTGTTGCTCAGCTTCAAAACTAAGACCTCCCCATACCTCACTCCTCTCTGCACCCCATAACTTTAGGAAGGTCTGAAAGCCAGGCCAGAGGTCAACACTGCGGCTGGGCAGCACCAGGTCCCATCTCCACTAGAAGCACTTACCCCATTCCCTGTTTGAAAGCTTCAATTAACTCGTTCTTTTTATTCTGATCTTCTACCCAATACACGCTTGGAATCACGAACTCTGATATCACACGGCACTCCGGACAAGACCTGAAATAAAAATCAGGTTAGGGCCACACTGTCCACGCTCCAGCTCCACTTGCTTAGTCTCGTGCCCCAGAGGCTCCCTTCCTTCACCAAAACTCCCAACAGGGGCACCGACAGTTACCTACAAACTTACTGTAAGAAACAGGCTCCTCACCCATAAAAAGACAACCCAATTTTGAAATGAGTAAAGGATCTGAGTATTAATCTAAAATAACTATTAACCACATTAGAAGATGCTCATTATCATTAGTTATGTGGAAATGCAAATCAAGACCACACGAAGATACCGCTTCACTCCCTCTAGGATGGCTCCAATCAGAAATAAAGACAAAACGCCAATTTGGAAAGCAGTATGGAGATTTCTTGGAAAGCTGGGAATGGAACCATCATTTGACCCAGCTATTCCCCTTCTAGGTCTATTCCCTGAAGACCTAAAAAGAGCATGCTACAGGGACACTGCTACATCGATGTTCATAGCAGCACAATTCACAATAGCAAGACTGTGGAACCAACCTAGATGCCCTTCAATAGACGAATGGATTAAAAAAATGTGGCATTTATACACAATGGAGTATTACTCTGCATTAAAAAATGACAAAAATCATAGAATTTGCAGGGAAATGGATGGCATTAGAGCAGATTATGCTAAGTGAAGCTAGCCAATCCCTAAAAAACAAATGCCAAATGTCTTCTTTGATATAAGGAGAGTAAGTAAGAACAGAGTAGGGACGAAGAGCATGAGAAGATGATTAACATTAAACTGGGATGAGAGGTGGGAGGGAAAGGGAGAGAGAAGGGAAATTGCATGGAAATGGAAGGAGACCCTCAGGGTTATACAAAATTTCATACAAGAGGAAGTGAGGGGAAAGGGGAAAATAATACAAGGGGGAGAAATGAATGACAGTAGAGGGGGTAGAGAGAGAAGAGGGGAGGGGAGGGGAGGGGAGGGGGGATAGTAGAGGATAGGAAAGGCAGCAGAACACAACAGACACTAGTATGGCAATATGTAAATCAATGGATGTGTAACTGATGTGATTCTGCAATTTGTATACGGGGTAAAAATGGGAGTTCATAACCCACTTGAATCAAAGTGTGAAATATGATATATCAAGAACTATGTAATGTTTTGAACAACCAACAATAAAAAAAATTAAAAAAAAAAAAAGAAAGACAAAACAAAGTGTTGGTGAGGGTGTGAGGCCATCAGAACCCTCTAAACGGCAGGCAGGAAGGTAAAATGAACAAGCAGCCATTTGGGGAAATAACCTGTGGGTTCCTTAGTTAAATGCAGAGTTTCCCTAAGACCCAGCAGCAATTCTAGGCCTGGAACACACCTAGAGAAACAAAGGCTTGTGTCCACATAAGGTTGAGAGTAACCTGTTTCTTACAGTAAATAGGTTCTTAAGTGACCGTAGGTGTACCTGTTGGGAGTCCTGTTCACACCACACACAGCTGTCACAGGAGCACCATCCCCAACAGTTGGGGAGTGGAAAGAACCCGAATGGCCATCAGCTGATGGGACCAACAATGTGCCCAGCGTTCGATGGCCTATGATTCACCCACAGAAATGCAGTGCTGATCTACACCACCATGGGGACGAGCGCTGAAGCTATGCCAAGCGAGAGAACCTATGGTTCTGTCAGAGGAAACATCCAGAATACAAACATCTGTCGAGACAGGAGCAAGGTCAGTGGCTGCCTAGGCCTGGAAGGAGAGAGGAAGGGGCGGTGACCGCAAACGGATGTGCCTGAGAAGGTGACCCGTTCTGCAGTTAGACTGTGGGGACAGCTGCACACAGCAGACCCTTTCCTCCTCCACAAAGGGGCCGAGCCACTGCGGAGTGAGACTCCAGGAAGTTACTGACCTCACCACACCTCAAGGTCCTGTCTATGCAATGCAGATGGCACTGAGGGCATGCATGGCTGCTGCAGAGGAGCCCCCACCAGTGCCAGGCAGCAGGAAACGCTCACACGTTCCACGCAGGTCCTGGGGCTCCTTTTTTTTAAAGGTTAAAAAAAAGAAAAGAGGGGCTCTGGGGCTCAATGGCAGAGCGCTGGCCTCGCATGTGTGAGGCACTGGGTTGGATCCTCAGCACCACATAAAGACAAAGAAATAAAGTCCACCTAAAACTAAAAAATAAATATTAAAAAAATAAAAAATAAAGCTCAAATAGGATACTAGGCGACTGGCTTAAAGGCAATGAGTACTGCGGTACTGGGCCCAAAAGCAGGACCAGGAGGTAGAAAGGGGCCCACGAAGTTCAACCCCTCCTCACATAGATCATCTCTGCCGTCTCCACCCCTGGTCCCCAGCGCTTGGCAGGAACTGTCACCCATCCTTTTTTTTTTTTTTTTGGTACCTCAGGGGCCCCTGACCACTGAGCCCCTTCCCCAGCCCTGTTTTGTATTTTACTGAGAGACAGGGTCCCACTAAGCTGCTTAGCACTTCACGTTTGCCTAGTTTGGTTTTGAACTTGTGATTCTTCTTTCTCAACCTCCAAAGCCACTGGGATGACAGGCGTGCTCCACTGTGCCTGTCACCCACCTTTCAGAAGAAAAGGGGCTTGAACTCAGGAAGGGGAGGTGACAGCACCCAAGTGCACACAGGACCCTAGGTTACTTTGCACTAAGACATCTCCAGAGGGCAAGGGCGGGTTCAACTGGATTAGGAAGCCCAGCGGTGGGAGCGGGTGGACAGGGATGGACAGTCGGACTTACTTAATGATCGGGTTTTCAAACTGCTTGGCACACCTCCACTGCCGGATGCAGGACAGGCAGTAGGTGTGGTTGCAGTTGGAGAGAATCCCAAACCTCCTCTCCGAGGCCGACGCCTTCTCCAGGATCACCTCCATGCAGATGCTGCACACCTTGTCCTGACTGGCCTGGAAGGCAAAGGCCTTCTCCATCTCGTGTTCGAATGTCGACATGCAGATCTGCAGCAAGAGGAGGGAAACCTTCGTCTGCACCCTGGAGAGCACCAAGAGCCCAGGGGTCGCTGCACCAACACCACCACAGCCCAAACAGGAAGGGCACAGAAAGTGGCTGCTGCACAGGGCCCAGCAGCCCCCGGATTCAGGACACAAAGCTGTCACTCAGACCACAAAGAAGACCTCCAGCCACCGTACTCCTGCCTCTAGATTCCCAGGGGACCCGTAAGATATGGTCAACACTAAATTAGAGCCGAGACCACAGAGACCTGGAGGTTGACAGCACCGCTGTGAGTGGCAGAACGTCTAAGGAATGGGCCTTGTCTCCCGGCTCCTCTGGACACTGCCTCCTCCACGTTGAGCCATGCCAGTACCAGGAATGCCAAGCAATGAGCTCAAGGTGTGACAACACACAGCCCACACACAGTAAGCAGCGCAACCTTCCCCAAGAGAGCGGAGAGAGAAACTGCTCAGCTCACCAAGCGCTCTGAACGCCTCCTCTGTGCTGGACTCAGAGGGCCAAGAGCAGGCCCAGGTGCAGCCCAGCCCAGCCCCACCGGGTCCCCCAGGGCTCACAGCACAGAGGCTCCCCACCCTGCAGAGGGGAGAGCCCTTCTAGAGCGCTCCCTCCAGGATCAAGGCCGCCCACTGCCCCTGAGGTACACTATCAGGACACACAGCCCGAGCTCAGTAGCCACAGAGGGCGCCTGTCTCCATCATGTGCGCCAGCACCATCTGGTCCTCGGCAGGCTTTAGTTCACTTGAAGTGGCCTGGTGTCCCCCCGTCTCTGCGATCTACCCACACACAGCCAAAGACACAGTCCACCATAGGGCTCCTCAAGGCTTCCCAACAGCACTGGGTCCCAGCCAGTGATGTGCAACCTGGGGAGGGAGGATGTCGTGCACCCTGCCCGTGTGAGGGAGCAGAAGGCACGGTGCCTCGCTCCTGAGCCAGCTCTCCCTAAACTCTGCACTGCTTTACTTTTCTGATGCCCCTGCATTTTCTCTTAATCCTAAATAATCAAAAGTGAACAAAATGACAACAGTAAAAAGAATCTGAAAACAGATGCAGACATACCAGGGACACAGTGCAGGCATTAATCTGGCAGAAAGACTGATACAGACACCAATGATCCTGTCACCTGGCTCATTTCAGATTGCTTAGCCGAGTCCATCCGAGGGTGTGACCTTACCTTCTCATGGGCTTTCCTTTGCTCAGGGTCGAAGGGGTGCAGGACTCGCAGCCTGCAGATCTCACACACGTCCCCGTGCAGGTAGACACAGGAATCCCCAAACCGGCACTCCCCGGCAGCAGCGTAGGGACACAGCGGTTCGCTGTTGTAGGAGCTGCTGGCCTCCAAGTCATCCAGGCCGCTCCTGATGGCATCGAGGTAGGAATGGGGCTTCACCTCCAGGCTCGTCTGGGGGTCACTGCAGCTGCCTAGATTACTCACCATGCTTGGGCGAGTCTTTTCTTCAGCCAGGCCAGAGAGATCTTAACACAAAACACACAGGACACACGGGTGAAAACTGGCTGCATCTTTCAGGTACGCTGCTAGCCAAATCAAACAGATCAGTGACTCCAACCTAAGGAATCCACACCTGGGAACAGACAGCAAGAAAGTAGGCCAAAAAGGAAAAATAAAGGGAATAGATTTATAGTTTAAAAAAGAAAAAAAAAAACCCAACCAGCCAGGCAAGGTGGCGCACCTATAATCCCAGTGACTCAGGAGGCTGAGGCAGGAAGGTAGCAAGTTTGAAGCCAGCATCAGCAACTTAGTGAGGCCGTCATAAAAAAAAAAAAAAAAAAAAAGCAGGGCCGGGAATGTGGCTCAGTGGTAGAGCCCCTCGTACCAAAAAGGGGGTGGAAAAAAAAGGGAAAGGAACATGGATGGCCAGACCAGACAGGAAAAGCAGCAAAACACAACATGTTATATTTATACTAAAGAGCACTAAAGGGCTAGGGTGGGGACTCAGTGGCAAAGCACGTGCCTAGCGTATGTGAGGCACTGGGTTCAATTCTCAGCACCACAAATAAATGTCCATCAACAACTAAAAAAAAAAAAAAGAACACTGAAGTGACTGTTAGAAAGTGGCATGGGTCAGTTAACATGGATCAGTTAACACTCAAATAACCCAGAATATAAAGGTCATTTAGACTGAGGTCGACAGAACACAAAGGTTCCTTCACATCCAAGTCCAGCGACACCTCGGGTCCAGAAGCCAGGGTGCAGCTGGCTCTGCTCCGCCACCTCTTCTCCTGGGAGCTTCCCAGACAACCTGCTGCCTGAGGATGGAGACCCCACCGGGGCACAATGCCAGCCCTAGAGCCCCCTCGCCTGGGCAGCACCAACCCCTAAAGACAACTTTTAGCATCTGGAACCTTCTCCCTCCCCAAGCCCGTTCCAGGGCACAGTCCACCTCCCAGACTGACACTCCACGGTTTCCAAAGGTGCGGCCCAAAGCACCACCTCTGGGTCAGGGCAGCACCCAGACCGCGCAGACCCACGTGGCAAACAGTGATCGTGTCTCCACCAGATTCACAAACGGCTCAACTCGTCCTCACCAACCAGACCACCACCCAGGAAGACGGCAGATACAGTGACAAAAGATCACGTTTGGTTTTGCCAGGCCAAATGTGGAACTCAGCCCGGCTGTGGGCATGAGGCCAAATGTGAGATGAGATGCCAGGGCTCTGCAGCCACGTGGAGTCCATCCTCAGGACAGCTCTGGGGTCTCCCTGTGGGGACCACCTGCAGGGTATGAGGTTAGGACCGAGCCCCAAGGACCAGTGAGGCAGTTTTTTTTGAGAGGTAACAATTCTGCTCACTCACTTCGGTCTCTGAGCACCAGCGTTCTCTTCTCCCGCTTCCCAGGCTCCTGGGACTGGGTTTTCACGACAGATGTGGTGAGGTCGGCAGAAGGGCGAGGACTGTGGAAGCCTGGGGAGGGCCCAGCATGGGGGAGGGGGCCCACAGCCCCAGCAGCTACAGCCGAGGGCCTCGTGTGATCGTATCTAAACAAAACAGGCATGTCACAGACCCGCTGCACACAGGTCCCCCGTGCTCCTGGCCCTCAACAGCTGCCTCTGCTCCACTAGCTGAAGTGGGCAATGAGACGACCTGTCCCCATGAGCCCTTCTGTTTGAGTTAGAACAGACTGAGCATTTAGTAAGGACCGCCTGGCCAGAGGCTACTTATCAACCACATGGAGAGGCCCCATGGGACCAAAACAGGGCTGCAGACCACCTACAGAGCCTGAGAGTTCCAAAGATCTACTCCATTCTCCCGCCACCTGCTCCATCAGTGTCCCTTGGAAGGAGTCTCCTAGGCCATTTGTCTGAGGCAGATGCTGGCAGGGGAGACAGGGCAGCTCCACCACCACCCACCACAGGCAGGAGCACGGAAGCTCTGCCGCAGAAGACCGGAGGAGCTCTGCAACGCAGAGCCCCTCCCTGCCTGTGACCCCGGCGACTGGGAGGCTGAGGCAGGAGGATGGCAAGCTCAAGGCCAGCATGGGCAACTTTTAATATTTAGAGCCTTCTCCCTCCCCAAGCCCTGTCCCAGAGCACAGTCCAAAAGACCTGTCTTACAATAAAATTTTAAAAGGGCTGGGGCTGTAGCCCAGCAGCAGAGCATCCCTGGATTCAATCCCTAGTAACATTAAAAAACAAAACATCAGGTTTTTAAAGCTTTCCATCCATCTATAAGCTACGAAACTTGCCCAAGTAAGACTGAGCATAAATGCTTACTGCAGGGACAAGGGTACCAAGAAAACCAGAGGCCACTTAAATATCTAACAAATATTTTTCCAATGATGGTAAATTAACATTATGAAACAAAACTACAGTGAGGAGATAAAGCAGCAACATAGGAAAAAACTGGGGGGACATGCCTAATGGGGCAAAAAGATATAGAATCTTATTTATACTGTGACAACAACTAACACTATAGTCATAAGAATTAGGCCTAATTCTTTGAAAAATTAAAAGTAGTTTGAGTACCAAAAAGTGAGGTCTTAATTATTTGCCATTCATTCTTTTTATAGTATTGTCAAATTAATTTTAAATTTAAAATTTCCTCAACACCTATCCTCCAAATGCAGGACTGGACTCCCTGATGGGTTCCAGTCAGAGTGGCTGCGGGGTCCTTGCCTGCACCGCGGTCCGTAGGCGCAGTAGCCCTTCTGGTAGTACTTGCAGATGGTGGATGGCTTGCTGTTCGCCAAGTCATGTGAGAACAGGCACTGGCTGCCTTCCCGACACACACCGTGCATAAAGTACCTGAGGAGACAAGCACAGGACACTTTTAGAAGCACACTCTGCTGTGGGGGAGGGGTGCTGGGCCTTGTGCATGCTCCACAAGCTCCTGAGCCCAGTGCCCACTTTGTTCTGCAAGATCAGCATATTTTTTTTTTTTTTTTTTAATATTGTGGGGTTTTTTTAAACTTTTTTTTTTTTTTAATGTGCTGAGGATCAAACCCAGTGCCTCACGCATGCCAGGCGAGCGGCGCTACCTCTTGAGCCACATCCCCAGCCCCGAGATCAGCATTTTTTTTCTTTTTAAAGAGAGAGAATTTTTAATATTTATTTTTCAGTTTTCGGCGGAGACAACATCTTTGTATGTGGTGCTGAGGATCGAACCCGGGCCGCACGCATGCCAGGCGAGCGCGCTACCGCTTGAGCCACAACCCCAGCCCAGATCAGCATATTCTTAAACCTAGCACACAGACATCCACTGAGCCTATGCCGTGTATCAAGGCTGTCTTAGGCACTGGAGATACATATATTTTCTTGGTTCTAAGACAAAATGATTTCAGACCCACCAGAATGACTCAATGACGCTTTTCTGAAAGAAAAATAAATCATCCCAAAAGTTCCCCTCTCAAGATACTCCAATTTAAGCATATTACACACGCAAAATTAAGACCCAACTAAGAAATTTCTTTATGAAAAACTGCTCCCCTGCTCTTATGAATTTTTAAAGGATACAGGTAACGGAATCGGGAACCTGGGCTCAGGATCCAGCTCTGCCACCTACAGTCAAGTTATGAACACCTTTCCTGGTCCTTGCTACCTTTATCTATAAAATGAAGATTACACTGACTCCTTCGCTGGGTTGTAGTGAGGATCAAATAAGATGGTGTGACAACAAAAGATGTATTTGAGCTGGGAACAGTGGTAATCCCAGTGACTAGGGAGACCGAGGCAAGAGGATCACAAGTTGAAAGCCAGCCTCAGCAACTTAGTGAAACCCTGTCTCAAATAAATAAAAAATGGGCTGGGGATGTGGCTCAGTGGTTAAGTGCCCTGGTACCACAAAAGAAAAAGAAATGTATCTGAGAACATTTCACTGATAAATCAAATTCCCACTTTGAAGTGATAACTGATATAGAAGTAAGAGGTATTCTAAGTCTGCCCAGCTGTAGCAGAAGCTGAACACCCAGAGCAAACTAGAGACCCCAGAGGAACATGCCTTAGCATCAAGGACTAAGCTAGTCCTGAGTGCAAGTGCTGCACACTCCCTGCCAATTAAGCTTAAAAACAAGCTTTAACATGATCAAACTGATAGCACGTAAATTACTGCCCATCTTTTTAAAGGAGGACTATAAAATCCAAATGCAAAAAAAACAAAAAACAAAAGACAAAAAAACAATGCTTAGCACCCAATACAACATTACTAGGTAATATTCAAACACAGGCATATGTGACACATAACCACGAGAAAGAGATGATGAAATCAAATCAACATTTAAGAACCTAAAACAGTTATTATAGTCTCAACACGCTGAAGGATTAAAAGGAAACATTATAAGGTGAAGAGAATGAAAAAATATACAAAAGAGTTGTTCCAGAAATGAAACACACGTTATCTGAAATGAAAATTACATTGGATAAGCTTAGATACCACAAAAAAAAAATCAGAAAGCTTAAAGACACAGCAACAGAAACACCCAAACTGAAGAGGAGAGAAGGCTGGGGAGGGCAGACTGTTGCTTCTGGCGGCGAGGGAGCAAGCCGCTTGCCCTCACTGCAGGAAATAAGATGGAGAACATATGGGAAACATCTGCTTTCAGACAATGGACAAAGGCAACCCAAGACTGATTCCTGAGGGATGTGCAGCAGGTCAGCCCACATTCCCTGACCTCCCACCTGGCGTCTTCTGGACCTTATGGCATGGATGGGAACCCTAGCAAGGCACAGCAGTCCTGCCCAGTCCAAGAGATTGGAGATAAGGATTTAGGGAGTTGGGGCAGCTCTCCATAACCACAACTGTATCCTCAATTGACCTTTCTTTCTTTTTTAAGAAAAGGTCTAAGGTGCCCAGGCTGGCCTCAAACTTGCTATCCTTCCATCTGAGCCTCCCCAGTGGCTGAGACTGGCTTTCAACAGACAAAAGCATAGTCCAGGCAGCAAACAGTGCTGGACCCAGTATGTGTGGATAAGCTGTGACTCAAATACTGTTTGCTGATGCGACTCCATATGAAGCACCCAACATAAACACAACACATGTTAAAACAAACACATCTACCATACGATCCAACAATTCCACTCCTAGGCATTTCCCCAAGAACATAAAAACATGTCCACATGCAAAAATATCTGTTATGTGAATGTTCACAGCAGTATTGTTTACAACGAAAAAAATGAAAATACCCAAATAACCATCAGCTGGTGACTGGGGAAACAAAAGTAACACACCCATACAAGGGGCTGCTATTCAGCCATAAAAGGCAATGAAGTACTGACGGACTCAAGCACAGCACAAACTTTGAAAACATCATGCTGCGTGAAAGGGGCGGACACAAAAGGCCACGTGCTTCTGATTCTATTTATATGAAACAGCAACAATCAGAAAAGGCAAATCTAGGGCTAGGGATGCAGCTAGGTGGTAAAGTGCTTGCCTAGCAAGTACAAGGCCCTGGGGTCAATCCCCAGTACTCCCCCAACCCACTCCCAAGAATGGAAAAAGCAAATCTAAAGGAGCAAAAGTATATTAAGTGCTGGAAGAGGGTAAGTGTGGAATGAGTGCTAATGGGTTCAAGGGATTTGGGGGGAGGGCGATGGAAATATACTAAAATTTAACTGTGGTGATAGTACTAAAAATCTTAGAATTGAATATTCCCAACAGGCAAATTCTTTGCATGTGATTATACTTTAATAAAGCTGTTAATAGCAGGGTAAAAGGGGGACTATGATAGGTTAGTAGACAGTACACAAGGAACAGAATAACCAAGTGCAATATTTAGTCCTGGATTACATTCTGGTTTAGGCAAACCAGATTAGATACAATGCAAATGTACTGACATGAAAAGCTGAAGACTGTTAAAAGAGCAGATTATAAAATAGCAAATACAATAAAGCAGTATAGCTGCTATGGAAGTATGGTGGTTTCTACAAAATTAAAAATATGATCTAGCAATGCCACTTCTGGGTATATATACAGAGGAATGAAAAGCAGGGTCTCAAATATATCTGTACACTCATGTTCACTGCACCATTACAACAAAAAATGGAAGCAACCCATATGTTTACGCACAGAAAAGGAATAAATTAGTAGTGGTGTACATATGATGGATTATTATACAGCTTTAAAAAGGAAGGAAATTCTGACACCATCACATGGATAAACCTTACGGACATCATGCTCACTGAAATAAGCCAGACACAAGACCAACATGACATGCCACCAGTTATCCGAGGTTCCCAGAGTAGTTCAATTCATAGAGACAGAAAGTAGAAAGGGGGCTGAGGGAGGGTGGGGGGATTGTTGTTTAATGGGTACAGAATTTCACTTTTACTAGACAGAAAGCTCTCAAGTTTCAGTTACACAACAATGTGACTATTTAATAGTAGGGACTTACAAAAATAGTTAAGATGGCAAAATTTATGCTATTATGTTATTTTACAATAAACAATTTTAAACCAGCATATACGGGATGATTTCATGTTGACAAAAAAAATCATAAATGTATATATGCAAGCATTTTAAAAATCTGAAAAGTTGGGCAAGGTGGTCCATGCCTACAATCCCAAAAATTAGGGGGACTGAAGCCAGAGGACTGCAAGTTCAAGGACAGCCTCAGCAATTCAGTAAGACTCTGTCTCAAAATAAAAAATAAATGGGCTGTGGATGTAGTTCAGTGGTAAAGCACCCATGGGTTTAATCCCCAGTACCAAAAAGCAAAAATAAAAAAGCCTGAAAAGATGTATACAAGAGTAGTGTGTTAAGAGCAGTGGTCCTGCTGGGCACAGTGGCTCAGCAGCTCAGGAAGGTGAGGCAGGTGGATCAGGGGTTCAAACCAGCCTCAGCAAGTTACCAAGGCCCTAAGCAGCTTAGCCTAACCCCTACTGCAAAAAAAAAAAAAAAAAAAAAAGGTGGTGATCCCTGGGCGAGGTTGTACCAGTAGTGGAGAGTGTGCCCAGGGCTCTGGGTTCCACCCCAGCACTGAAAGGGGAAAAAACGAGTCGGGATCCTTGAGGTTAAGGTATATATGAATTCTTCTGTTTTTGTTGTTGTTTTTGCAATGCTAGGCATTAGTATCCTACCAAGGAGCAACGTTCCCTGCCTGTTACGTATTATTTTTCTTAGCTTTGCTGAGCTACACATTCTGACATTTTTACCATGAACATACACTGCTTTTGTAATAAAGGTTAAGTTTCAAAAATGATCAAGACAATCCAATACTGGCAAGGGTATGATTTCTGAAACGTATGTAAAATGCTCACTATGGTACCCAACCCACTTTAGGTATCCAAAAGAGTGCAGGTCTTCCAGCTGAGGTTGCAACCCAGCAGTAGAGCGCTTGCCTAGTATGTGCAAGGCTCTGGGTTCGATCCTCAGCACCATAAAAAAAAAATAAATAAATAAAGGTATTTTGTCCAACAACTAAAAAAAAAATATTAAAAACATGTTAAAAAGAGTGCAGCTCTTACCAGTCTAGTAAGACAGTGACAAACTGCACCAGTGACAGTGATGTGTGCCCTCCTACAGCACAGGTCAGCTACTTCAGAAGAGAGGAAACACAGCAAGAGCAGCCCCCAGGGGCAGACAGAGTCCTAAAGAGGGAAGTGTGTAATAGGGGAGGAGCGCGGCCTGAGAGGGCAGACCAGCGGCATGGCCAGGGGGAGGGCAGCCCTGCAAGACTTGGCTGGAGCATGACTGTGCTGAACTGGCTGTGAGCCAAGAGGCCCTGTCATCAGCTGCAGTGCTCTTGGTGTGTGCCCCTTAAAACAAAGCCCTGAGTAAGTCCTGGAACCTGCAGGAGCTGGTCTTTCAGTGA